TGCCATAATGATGGTCCATTGATATATCTCTATTACCAACTGTCATATCACAATGGTCCATTTTCCAGTCACAATATTTACTCTCCAATAACAATGGTCCATGGTTCCATTACAGTGGCCCACTGCTCCATCAAATGTTCTGGTATCCTATCAAAATGGTTCACTGTCCTATCCTGTTACAATGAGTAAGTATACCATTCCAGTGATCTATTGTCTTACTGTTCCATCACAATGCTCCAGAGATCTAATGTCTCACTATGATGTAATAATGGACCAATGTTTTATACACCATCATAATGATAACACTCTTTCATCAAAATGATTCATTATCCTATAAGAAAGTTCCACTTTTAATTACAACACTACCCTGTAGTGAGATGGTAGTCCTAATATGTATACATCATCAAAATTGTCCACTGTCCCATCATACTGTTTCATTATTCCATCACAATAATCAAATGTCTTATCAGAACACTCTATTATCCTAAACATCACAATGGTTTCTTTCCATGAAAAATGATTCACTGTCCAAATCACAATACTTCTTTTTCATCACAACTGCCCATGGTCACATAAAAAGGTTTCACTGTCCTATCAGTAGTTTTTCACTTTCATAACACAAGGTCTTCTGTCTTTTAAAATGTTCCACTGTCTCATCACAATGGTCCACTGTGTTATTACAATGGCCCACTGTACCATCACAGTGATCCACTCTCCCATCATAGTTGTCTACTGTCCCATCATAATGATTCTTTGTGCAATTGCAATGAGCCAATTTTTCATCAAAGTGATTCACTCTCCAGTCACAAAGGCCCACTGTCACATAACAATAGCATATTCTTTCCTCCAAATGATTGATTTTACAATCACAGTAGACCAATATCCCATTACAAAGGTGAACTGTCCAACCAAACACAATGCTCCAATTTTGTATCACTGAGGTCAAATCTCTTATTCCATTACCATCAGACTGGCATACTGCCCTTCCACAATTATCTATCTTTTCCACCACAATTTCCACCATCCTCTCACAATGATAAAACTGTATCACTACAATTCTCTGCTTTCCTTTAACAATGGCTCCCTCTCTTATTATCTTTAAAATTATCGACTCTCATATCACAGTGTTCTACTATCCTATTACAATGGTTTACTGTCCTTTCTTTATTATCTACTCTTTTAATATGGTTCATTCTCCCATCACTATAGTCCTTGTTTCGCACAGTGGTTAACTGTATTATTTTCCTTTTCACAATTACCTATTGTCCCATAAAATTAGTAAATGTTCCATCACAATGATTCATTGTCCTAGTACTATTCTCCATCATAACATGATAATGGATCAATCTTTTTCCCCTATCATAATACTTCACTGTACCATCTGATGATCCACTGACCCATTACCATGCAATGTTCCACTATCCTATCACAATGGCTCAAAGACCCAACACACTTAAAAAGAAATCCCACATTCTCTTCATAATGGTCCATTGTATTATCCCTTGTTACAATTGTCAACTGTCCATAAAATAAGCTATTGTCTCATAGCAGTGATTCACTGTCTTATCATAATCATCTACTTCTCAATCACAATGTTCCAGAATCCCGTGATATACTAGTGAACAATCCCACTGTTACAGTGATACACTGTTCCTTCAAAATGATTCAATATTTCATCAAAATAACTCTCATACAATGTTTAATATGTTAAATATGTTAAAATAAGGTTTCAAAGTTCTACCCCCCATTACAATGATCCAGTGTTTGCATTATACTATTTTTACCAACCCATCCACTCTTTTGCCACAATGGCTCACTCACACATTAGTGGTTCATTTTTAGACTCACTATTTATTGGTTCATTTACCATCATAGTGTTTTATTTCCCCATTACTATGGCTCACCCATTACAATATTCTCTATCCAACTACAGGGACTTACCGTCCCAAAACAAAAGTTCACTCTCCCATAACTATATCCTCTTCTCTCATCACAGTGCCTTACTGTCCTGTTCCCTATTGAAATATTTACTGTTCCTCCACAATGACCACTCTTTACAATATCAATGATCCCACTGTGTTATTTCAATGGTCAAATCTCCTATCCCCCTTCCACAATGGTTTACTGTAATCATAAAAATACTTCTGCAGTGTTTACTGCAATAGCAAAATAGTGCTCTATGTATTCTTTATTAAAATGATCCACAGAAACATTATAATGGTCCACTTTCCCATCACAATGATTAACTGTTCAATCACAATGATTCAATCCCATAATAACAAAAGCCACTGGATTCCATCACAATATCCCTCTACCCCATGGGGACCAGTGCCTCACTGTTCTGTCATAATGATAACACTGTCCCCATACAATGTTTCACTGTCCCCTCCACAGATTTCATTGTCTTATCCAATATCACAATGGCCCACAATCATTTCAGAATCATTCACTTTCTCATCCAAATATTTCCCTAATTTATCTCCAAGTCCCACTGCCTCACCACTATTTTTCTGAAGCCTTTTTGCATATAAAACTATTCTAGGTTCTACCTTAATCATCCATGATTGTATAACAGTGATTCCTTATAATATTTCATTGCACAACTTTTCCTTAATAATGTACAATATGCATTCCCTTTTACCAATGGTATACTGTCCTATAAAACTACTACTATGCCTCACAATGGTTGATATCCCATCAAGTTCTTCAATAACGTCAAAGTGTTCCAGGGTCCTATTTTCTTTCACAATTGACCATTTTCCTATCATAAAACTCCACTGCCCCATTACAATAATTTGCTTTCTCGTCCCAGTGGTTCACTGTGCTGTCAATATAGCCCACATTGTTATCACAAGGGTCACTGTCTCATCCAAATTATCTACTCCCCCATTGCCATGATTATGTCTCACCAAATTGTTCATATTACTATCACTATATAACGTTGTCATATAACAATGTTCTGCTTCTCCAATGACAACGTTCCACAGTTCTTTAATATGCTACTGCTCTTATCCCCTACCCCAAATTCCACCATCCCTGAACAATGTTATTCCTACATCTTCACAATGATCCACTGTCCTATCGTAATGATCCATGATCCTATTTTCCCATCCTAGAACTCCTCATTCCCTTAATGTTCCACACACTTCTTCCTTCAGTACAATTTACAGATGCCTACCATCACAATGCAGCGCTTTAAAAAAATAATGCTTCACTGTCCTATTTCCTATCACCCTGGTACACTGTTATATAACTATATTTCAATATTTCATCACAGTTGTTTATTATTCTATCACAATATTTCATTGTCACATCAGAATAGTTCATTCTTTTTTTTCTCTCACAGCGTTCAACTATTCTTCTTACTATTCACTGTTCAAAGACAAATATCTACAGTTCAATCACACTGTTCCATAATAAAAATTCCTTATTCCATCACTATGATTCTTGTCTATTCACAGTATTCAACTGTACATCTTCTCACAATGATCTATTGTCCAATAATGATGATTCCACTGTCCCATCAAGGTAATTCCTTACTTCTGTTCCCTGTCATATTGATTGACTGTCCCATCAAAATAATTAGTTTTTCTATCACTTTAGTTCACTATTTAATCACTGTTCTAATACATTATTTCACTATCTTAGTGCAATAGTTCAAAGTTCTATTCCCTATAACAATGGTCTCATAACACATATTTACTGTTCTGTTACAATAATTTGCCTTCCAATCACAATAGCTCTCCACCTCATCACAATTAACCACTCTCTCATCAAATCAGCCATATAGTCCCTCACAATGATTCACTTTCCTAGCATTATATTTCATTATTCCATCATTATCGTCCAGCCCTTATAACACTTATGTGCCTATCTCATCACATAACTCTGTTAATCTATCTCCTTTCACAATGGACCATCATCAAATCATAATTATTTACTTTTTAATCACAAAGTTTCCAATGTTTCATTGGTAGATCTAAAACCTCATCACCATGGTATCAAATCGTATATCCTATAGCCAATGTTCAACTGCCCCATCTAACAGTGACTAATTGTAATATATCATTGTATCACATTACCTTAATAATTCTCCAATATCCACTTTCTTTTGCAATGTTACAATATCCCATAACAATGTTTCTGCTATCTCATCACTATGGTTTATTTTCCCATCATAATATTCAACTGTGATATCAGTGTCCCACTTTTATCTCCATAAAATTTTCTACTGTCCTGTCACATAAGTGTACAGTACCATCACATCAATCCACATCTGTAACTATGGTCTACTTCAATTTCCTTTGGTTATGGACCACTGTCTTATCTCCTATCACAATGGTCCATTGTCCCAAAACTGTTCCTACTATTCCTGCCCAACTGTCTACTCTGCCATAATAATGTTCTTTGTTCCATCAAATTGATGAAACACTGTTTCATCATAGAATTCAAATTCCATAAGCCTTCTAACAAGGGTTACAATGATATACCTTTACAGTATTTCATTCATTCACAATGGCTCAGTGTCACATCATGATGTTTACTGTCACATCACAATGATCTGTGATTCCATTAAAATTGATCCACTCTCCTGTCAAATGATCAAAGTCCAATCAGAAAGATCAACTCATCACAATGGTCTACTCCGATCATAATGTCCAAACTGTTTCTTCATGGTCGGCAACTGTCCCATTATATTTTTCCACTATCAAATTACAATGGTTCACTGTGTCATCCTCCTGGTCCTATCACAGTGTTCTACTGCTCCATCTCCCTGATTCATTGCACCATAATAATGCCTTATTGACCCATCACTACACTGTGCTGTCTCAGTTTAGTGGTCCAATTTCCTATTCCATGCAACAATGTCTCATAATAATCATACAATGTCCTTTCACTTATCTAGCTATCCTTTTCCATGTCAAAACGATTCAATTCACATCATAATGGCTCATTGTCCCATCAAAATGTTTACTGTCTAACAACAATGTCTCATTAACCCATCACAGTGACCACTGTTTTATCAAAATGATCCACTGTCCCATCACAATAATTCAAAGTTCTATCATAAAGGTCTGCAGTGTCATTATAATAGCTCGCTGTCCCATCCTTATTGTCTGCTGCAACATCATAGTTTTCTACTGTTCCTGCAAAATGATTCACTTCTCCAACACGATTCACTGTTGTTTTTTTATCATAATGATACATTATCCCATTACAGTGGTCCATTGTCCCATCACAATGATTAACTGTATCATCATAATGATGTACTTTCATCCCTAATCATCCATGAATCTGTAATTATCCACTGCTCTATCAAAATGTTGCACAAAAATGCCCCACTTTCTCACCACAATGACACAAAATCCCATCACAAAAGATCCATAATCTCATAACAATAACTCACTGTTCCATCACTTTGTTCACTGTCACATCACAATTCTTCACTGTACCATCAAAATGATCCACTATTCCATGACAATGATTCACTATAATATCATAATAGTCCATTATCATATCACTGGTCTACTGTTCCATCACAAGTGTGTACTGTTACAGAACAATGGTACATCTTACAATTCTCTGCCATAATTATCCATTTTACACTCATTAAAACTTGCTTTTATATTACAATGACTCATTGGTCTATTACAAACCTCAACTGTCACTCTCATAATGGTTATTGTCCTAACCCTTATTGTAATGGGTCCCTATTCAATTACAATGTACCACTATCCCTAGCAACATTCTGCTCACTATACAATCAAAATGGGCCACTGTCCTTCAAAATGTTTCTCTGTCATATCACGGTGATCCATTCTATTCTCTCACACAATGTTCGTCATTCCATCGAATGCCCACTGTCTCATCCACAGACTTCCACTGTCTTATTTTAAAGATCCAAATTCCCCTTACATCATCCCACTGTTCTATCTCAACAAATGACTGTCCCATTACAGTGATCCATTGTCTTATCAGAATGGTCCAAAGTCATATCACTTATAGCAATATTCAGTTGTCCTATTTTACTAATGCATGATCATATTACAGTGACTCCCCTTAACATCTCATGGAACCACTTTCTCTTAATAATTCTCTAGTGCTCATTTCCTTTCACAGTAGTTCACTGTCCTATAATCATGTTCTGTTATACAATCACAATGGTTTACTGTCTCATCATAAAATTCCACTGTCATTCACATCAAGGTGTTCTACTGTTTTAATCCATCTTCCAGTTTCCACTGTCTCAAGACAAAGGTTCATTCTCTCAATGATTCACTGTCCCATCAAAATGATTTATTTTGTCATCACAATAGTTCACTATTTCATCACAATGGCTCACAGTCATATCCCAATGATCCACTCTCTAATCTAATTAATCTACTCTCCTATTGCAACTATTACAATGGTCCACAGTTATATACAACAACTCATTATCCCATAACAACAGTCCACTTTCCTATCAGAGTGCTCCGCGTCCTCTTAATTATGGTCCACATTCATTCCTTACCATATCGATTCACTGTACACAAACAATATTTCACTATCCCTTATCACAATGATTCAGTTATGATTTCAATCCTACCATTATGTTCACTGACTAGTCATGGTCATTCCACAGTCCCTTTATAATGATCCAGTATTCCACCACAATGGTTCAAAGTCTCATAAAAATGATTCACAAATTCATCACAATATCCCCTTTCCCTTTACCTATAACAGAAGGTAAAATGTCCCATCTCAATATTCTGCTGTTTCATATTAACTGCTTAATTTCCCCATACCAAAATCCACTGTCTTATGACATGTCAATAATTCCCATAAAAATTGACCAATGTCCTGTTGCCTATCACAATGCTGCACTGTTCCTCTATGGTGCTACACTGTAAAATCACAACATTCCACCACAACATAATCATTATTCATTTTCCTATCTTTCATCACAAAAGTCAGTGAAAATAGCCTTCAACACATGGTCACAAAGAATACTTTCTAAATATAATGCCTAGTAGCATAGACACTGAGAACAACAATTCATAAATGGGACTTCCTGAAACTGAGAAGCTGCTATGAGGGGAAAAGATATAGTCAATAAGACAAAATGGCAGCCTACACAATGTGAAAATGTCTTTGAAAATCCCATATCTAACAGAGGACTTATCTCCAAAAAATATAAAGAACTCAAGAAACTAGACATTAAAACCCCCAAATAATCCAATTAAAAAATGGGGTACAGATCTAATCATAGAATTCTCTACAGAACAATCTCAAATGTTCAAAAGACAAGTAATTGCTCAACTTCCTTAGCCATCAGGAAAATGAAAATGTAAATGACTATGAAATATCATCTCTCCACCAGTCATAAAGGATAAGATAAAAAACACTAATGATAGCTTATGCTAGAGAGGACACAGAGTAGGAAACACTCCACCATTCCTGGTTGGAGTGTACAACCACTTTGGTAATTAGTATGATGGTTTCTCAAATAATTGGGAGTCAGTCGACTTCGCGTCACAGCAATGCCACTCTTGGGAACATTCCCAAAAGATATACCCTAATATCACAAGCACATTAGCTCCACTGTTCATAGCAGCATTATTTATAATATCCACAACCTGGAAACAACCTTGATGCCCATCAAACAAAGAAAGGATTTAAAAAAAAAATTTAAAATGTGGTACATTTATACAATGGAGTACTACTTAATGGTTAAAAAAAAATCAATGATATGAAATTTGTAGGCAAATGGACAGAAATAGAAAAAAATCCTGACTTAAGTAACCCAGACCCAGAAAGGTAAACATGGTATATACTTACTCATAAGTGGATAATAGATGTAAAGCAAAGGATAACCAACCTATATTCAATGATGCCAGAGAATCAAGGTAACAAGAAGAACCATTAGAGTGACATATATGAATTCCTCTGGGAAAGGGAAATAAACAAGATTACTGAGAAATTGGGAGTGTAGTGGCAGAAGGGAGTGGGGAGAAGAAAAAGGAGAAGGGAGGGGGAAGGGAGAAAATAATGAGGAAACTGGATGGTGGAGATGGAGGAAGGACAGGGAGGGAGAGCAGGGAAAGAACTATCTTGATTGATGTATTAGTCTGGGGTTAGTGAGAAACCTGGCACTAAGGAAATTCCCAGGCATCCCACAAAGACAACTCCAACTTAGACACTAAGAATTAGTGGGAGAGGTACCTGAATTGGCCTTCCCCTGTAATCAGATGGACAATTACATGAATTATCATCATAAAACTTCATCTAGTCATGATAGAGGCAGATGCAGAAAGTGTCAGCTAAGCAGTGGGCCAAGAACCTGGAATACAGTCAAAAGAGAGAGAGGATAGATAATAGAGATTAAGACCATTTTGGGGGTGCCCCACAGATAGCTAGCCTGAGCTATTGGGAATTCACTGACTCTATATTGATAGATGAGTAATCTGCATGGGACTGAATTCGGCCTTCTGAATGTGGGTGACAGCTATGTGGCTTAGGCAGTCTATAACCACTAACAATGGGACCAGGATTTATCCCTAGTGATTGAACTGGCTTTTTAGAGCTCATTCTCTTCTGAGGGATGCTTTGCTCAGTGTAGATACAGAGTAGAGTGTCTTGGTTCTGCATCAAAAAGATGTTCCTGATTACATTGACTCCCTAGGTGAAGCCCCTTACTCTCTGAGGAGTAGATGGGGATAGATATGTGGAAGGTAGAATGCAGGAGGACAGGAGAGAGTAGGACCTGGGATTGGTATGTAAAATAATGTTCCTCTGTCCTATCATGATGGTCTATCTTACCCTAATACTGTTCTACATTCATATCTCCTATTACAATGATATGTTGTTCTCCAACAATATTCCAGTATTCTACTACAATGCTTTACTATCCCATCTCTATGTTACACTGCCATAACATAATGGAATATTCTTCTATTTCCTCTTATCATGTCAACTATCCCATCACACTGGTCGATGTCCATTACAATAGTCCAAAGGCCCACAGAATGATTCACTGTTTGGCAATATCGGTACACTGTGTCATGACCATGATTCACTGGCCCAGCAATATGATCCACTGTCATTTCACAGTGATGAACTGTCTCATTTCCTCTCATAATGATCCACTATCACCACAAAAATCCACTGTCTCATCCTGTCAAATGTTTCACTGTCTCATCACAGTGGCTCACTGTCCCTTGCCCACTAGTACTTTTTCTCATCACAAGTAGCCACTGTTTATGTCCTATCTCTTGGTTCACTGCCCAATCTCAATGACTCACTTTGCTAACACAATGTTCCAGAGTCTCTAATAATTGACCAATATCTTATTCCCTATCACAGTGAACTAGTATCCCATCAAAATCTTCTATTATCCCATCACAATAGTATTATGATATGGTGTGAGATGAACCTTGGTGGGTGGAAACCAGAGCCCCACTGTGTTGAGAGACAGACACATCATGCAGACAGAGCTCACATGGGGAGTTTTATTGGGCATAGAGAGAGAGGGAGGAAGAGATGAAAGGAATGAAGAACAGCCTCTTGGAGGGAAGAGAGGTGCAGAGGGGCAGGTAGGGAGACAGGATGTGAGAGTGACAGGTGGGAGAGAAAGAAGAAGAGGGAGAACAGGCAGGGTCCCACCTTTTTAAAGGGAGGGACATAACACATGTGCCAGAGACTACAAAGCAGGCCAGGGTATTTTCCTGTGTACTGAACATGTGCCTACATGAGTGATGCAGTATGTAAAGTCTCCAGGGAGTGGGCCAGGTATGCCTATGTGCTAACAAATAATTCCTTAATAAAGACCCACAGTCCCTTAACAATGATTCACTGCCCTATCACAAAGTTTTACTATATCTTCACTGCATTCAACTCTCCTATTCCCTCTCATATGGTCCAGTCTTCCTTTATAATTTCCAGAGGCCATTATCAAAAAAAAAAAAAAAAAAACAGCAGATGACAGTAATATTCAAGGTGTTAACCCTCAGGAAGAAATTGTCTGAAGGGAGATCTAATTTAAGAAAGACTGAGACTATAGATCAGGATTGTCTTTGTTTCCTTCTGTTCCTTTACATGTTTGCCACTGTAACCTCTCTCTGATATCTCTCATGGTGTGAGGGGATTGGGAGATTCCTCAGTGTGTTTTGTCATGAATACATTCCAATATAATGGGGGTTTCCATATGTGGATTATCAAGAAAGTGACTCTTCCTTAAAATATATTGTCTA